GCCACTCCCCTGGCTGCTGCTCGTCCGACAGGTGCAGGCTGTTGTGGCTGTGCTTCTTGGACCAGTGTGTGCTGCACAGGGCTGCCGCTCCGTGGACGTGGGAAGTCTGCTCGTGTGGCTGCTGCTCCTCGGACTGGGGTGGGCTGCTGCTGCTCCTCGAATGGGGATGGGCCACTCACAGAACTGCTGCTCCTTGGATGAGGGCGGGATGCCCACACAGCTGCTGTTCCTCGGATTGGGCAGGCTGCCCGTGTGGCTGCTGATGCTTGGACGAGGACAAGATGCTTGCACAGCTACTGCTCCTCGGACTAGTGTAGGGTGCGGGCTGTGCACAGCTGCTGCTCCTCGGATGTGGGTGGGATGCGCAGGGCTGCTGTTCCTCAGATGTAGGTAGACTGCTCATGCAGCTGCTGCTCCTCGGACAGGTTGGACTGCTCGCATGGTTGCTGCTCCTCGGACAGGGAAGCGGGCCGCTCACAAAGCTGCTGCTCCTTGGACAGGGGCAGGCCACATGAGGCTGCTGCTCTTAGGCCCGAGGCAGGCTGCTCACGGGGCTGATGCTCCCTGGACAAGAGTGCACCCTCATGTGTCTGCTGTTCACGTGGTTGAAAAAATAATGTGGATATAATTCTTATTAACATTTATGCAACCAACATAAAAACATCCAAATATTTAAAGCAAATCTTGATGGACATATAGGCAGAGATTGAGAGTAATACAGTCATAGTAAGGGATTTTGAAACTCCACTGACATCAATGGGTAGATTTTCCAGACAGAAAATCAACAAGGAAAGGGAGGCCTTAAATGACACACTATATCAGATGGATTTTTTAAAATATTTTATTATTTATTTTTTACAAAGTAGAAGGGAGCAGGATAGAGAGAAACATTGATGAGAGAGAGATATCAATCAGCTGCCTCCTGTACACCCCCTACTGGGGATGTGTTCACAACCAAGGTATATGCCTTTGACTGGAATTGAACCTGGGACCGTTCGATCTGCAGGCCGATACTAAGCCAAACCTGTCAGGACACCCCCAATTTGTTTTAAGGTCAACTATAAATAGAAATACTATCCAGCTTTTAATAGCAAAGCAAATTTATTTTTAAAGTTTTAATCTTTAATATTCTGATTTTTAAAAGTTATTTTCCTACAATACCTTAATTCAAATTTACATTAACATGTCTCCTGTGTTTATAGCATATCAAAACTGCTGATGTTGCAGAAAAGACAGAAAATAAGAACCTTGAATTCCTAAACCAAAATTTTAGTAAGTACTTTTTGATTTAATCTTCTTTATAAATTTCCTTTTTGCCACACTGGCTTTCTTTGATTTGAAAAAGAAAGATTTATAATAAATGCATTCAACTTTATGCAAGGAACTTAGAGGTTACAAGGAAATATAATATACTCTCTGTTCCCAAGAAGTTTGGGTTTGAAAAGGGGAAAACTCGATCAATCAATCTCTCCATCCCAATATGTAAACCTTGATCAAAATCTATACCAATTTTACCCTGCCAACTGCATGAAAAATGAAAATACCATAATTTTTGTTTTATTTAGATGAATCCCAGTATAGTGTTCGTGGTTCTCAAGCAGTGGGGAAAATAGAGAAATCTGTGTAAGTACGAGAAAGCCTATCAGTTTTTTAAGCATGTATATTTACTTTTTGATGAATGTGACAAATTTAAAGGAAAAGGCTTTATAGTCTTACTAGAGGCCCGATGTATGAAATTTGTGTGGGGGGGTGGTGGTCCCTCAGTCCAGCCTGTGCTCTCTCGCAATCCAGGACCCCTCACTCCTAACTGCCCACCTACTCACTCCTAACTGCCCCCCCCCCCGCTTGCTCCTCACCGTTTGGCTAGCCACTCCTTAGCGCTGCCTCGGAGGCAGGAGAGGCTCCTCTGTTGAGTGTCTGCCCCCTGATGTGCACATCATAGCGACTGGTCATTCTGGTTGTTCTGCCATATGGTCACTGGGCTTTTATTATATAGACTAGAGGCCCGATGCACAAAAATTTGTGCACTGGCGGGGGTGGGGATGTCCCTCAGCCCCACTTGTGCCCTCTCACAGTCTGGGACCCCTCGGGAGATAACAACCTGCTGGCTTAGGTCTGCTCCCGGGTGGCAGAGGGCAGGCCCAATCCCTAGGTGCAGCCCCTGGTCGGGCTCAGAGCAGGGCCAATTGGGGAGTTGGGGCGCCGCCCCGTCATGCACAGAGCAGGGGGATTG